ACAGGTAATCTTGATCTTTCAATCTCAAATATTATTTATTCTACTCTACTAATTACATCAAGATATGATTCTCCTCTTGGATATCTATAAGTTAATTTATTCATTTTGCGTTCTTCATAATCTTAAGGAAATTTATCAGCAATCTATTAATATGTTAATCCATCACAAATTCCTGGATTTATTTCATCCAATGCTTTTAATGAATAATATTCCACTCCCAATAATTCACAAACTTCATTACTTGTATGTAATGCTCTTTACATAGTGGAAGTAAACATTTTAATATTTCTATTACCTTCTAATTCTTAAACAAAATATTTGCCCAATTATTTTGCATACATTAAACCTGTTTAAGTTAAATCAGAATCACCTCCTACTTTATGTAGAACATTATATTAACTTTCTCCATGTCTAGACAAATATATTGGTCTAGGATATATATGCAAATTCATTAAATATGATACTAATTTAGATTATAAAAATCCTTAGATATTGTAAATCATAATCTAAATTAATTATATTATGCTTTACATCATTCCCAATATCAATAATCTTTATAAATGATATATTCTCATCCATATCAATTGGTTCATAAACTTTATTATATTATTCAATTCTCTATTAGAAATCCTAAGTAGCTTCTTCAGATGATTTCCCAATATAATCAGGATTATTTAATTTTGTTAATTAAATATTTCTCAAAATAACATCTTCATCATTGCATATTGATTCTACCCAAAATACTTATACTTCACTAAACTTTTATTATAATGTCTCCATAATCAATTTTCTTCTTTACTTTGTAGTATTTGTTCCATCATATAAACTAACATCTCCTTCATTTCTTAGATAATTTATCATATCATTTAAAGCCAATAATGCACATTCATCTCTTGCTTTTGATGCCTTGAATTATATATATTCAATTACATCTTTATTACCAGGATCAAAGAAATTAGAGTTGCAATCTGTTCCACATATTTATCTCCTGTAATTTCCAATATTAAATACTTTACTCTTGAAACCCATCCAATTCAAATATCTACAAATCTTTCTAGATATGTAAGTCTTACCTCTGGCTGGTAATCCAACCATTCCAATAACCATCTTTTATTACTTACCTAACTCTTGCATTATACTTTTATTTTAATAATAATATATTACAATATGTTTTATGATTTAAAATTGATTCACATATAATCCAATAATACTATAAAATATAATATTAATAATAAGATTAAATTATTTATGCCTAAAAAAATAATTTGTACTCTCGATCAATATGCTAACATTTTTAGACATTGTGAACTTACATATAAATAATTTAAAAAACTTATTCATAAGAAAAATAAAAGATCATTAAATTAATAAGTATTTAGTTTTAGATGCAAAGTTTGTATGAATCATAGAGATACATCTCCACATAGAAGATGTAATGGATGTTAAGATCTTTTTCATTTAAAATGTGTAGACGAAGAGAGTAAATAGTTATGTTCTAAATGCTAAGTTCAATTATAAAATATGCTACTCAAATTATAATATATTACATAAGTTGAAGGAGATACTTTAATTGTACATGAATGCAAATCTTCTAATTCAATTTGTAGTGTATGTTATATCATTTGTGACGAAAATCAAAATCAAAGTAAAATTTGTTATAGATGTAATCTACGATAACATGTACAATGTTATAATAGTCAAAATGAATTCTGTTCTGTATGTGATTAATATTTAAAAGACAATCTACCATATTAATTTGATACAATTCCAAATTATATTCAATTATGGAAATCAGAATATACTTGTTAAGATGATTTAATTATGATTGATAAAATTAAAAAATAGAATAGAGTCAGATTATATCTACCAAAATATTCTGATTCAAAAGAATAATAATTTTAAGAATCTTATTCATTAATTAAAGCCTTATGTGCAAAATCTATTTATTTCTCTGATGACTTAACCTATTTCCCAGAAGATTCAAAACCAGAAGATAATAATGCCAAATATGAACGCAAATTAGAAGATTTAGATGAAGATAATTTAAAATCTTTTCTATAATTTAAAGAATATAGTAGATTAGGTATAACTCCATAATTGATGGTCGATTTTCATATTAAAACAGGTTTTATAGCTAAATCAACTGGATTTATTAAAAAAGGTTCAATTTTAGCAGAATATTGTGGAGAAGTAAAGAAATGGAAAAATATCATATTTGATTAAAATGATAGCATTATGGTAAGATTACTTTTTATTAAAGGAATTATTATCACATCCAAATCCAAAGAAAACACTTTATGTAGTTCCAGAAAAATATTCTAATATAGCAAGATTTGTTTGTGGAATTGATAATAAAATTAAAGAAGTAAATTAATCTGAAATTATTTAAGCAAGTGGAAATAATTAATGTAAAATGTTTGAGAGTAGCCATTAACAAATAAGCTAGAATTATTATGTATGCTTGTAAAGATATTCAACCAAATGAAATTTTATATTATGATTACAATTCAGGAGGCAAATATTTATATCCAACAGAAGGATATCAAATCTTATGAAATTATTATATGTTCAATTGTAAATTTTATAAATTGTATTAAATATATTAGACTATAAATATTCTACATATTTTCTAATTTGATTTTCAATATATTCTTAAACAGTGGAAAATTTTCAAATTAAAGGAAATTTTAAATTAGTATATATGTATTTTAATTTATTATTATATACATGTCTAACATAAATAATATAAATTGGATTGAAAATATAAGAATTAAAAAATAAACTAAAAATCAAATATTAATTGTTATTGACAAATGTGCGCTTTTAGTTCACTGGTTTCTTAATATTAATTCAATCTAATTTAAATGAAATGTCAAGTATTGTGATTTTTATTCAATAATTAATACAACATATGCTTGTAAATAAAAATAATGGATAATAATAATGAAGTTTCTAATATTAATTTACATTTATTACGGTTTAATGATTTTAAATAATTTAAAATTTTTAATAGAAATTTTCAAATATTCTTAATGGATTTTCAGATGATATGCCTATAATTTATTGTTTATATCGTATTAGTAAATAAACTAGAACAATCGAAATTAAAAAATCATAAATAATTTGAATTAATTTATTGTATAAATTACTAATATAAATAATGATCAAAAATTCTCATATTTATATATCTATAAATTAAGTATAAATTTAATTAATTAAATCTTAATTTTTAATAATATTTTTATTTAAAATGGATTGGGCAAGATTAGAGATCATAGTCCCTTTAATTCTTATATTTATATATTGGTTGTATTATAGAAAATTCAGATTTTATCTCATCGCTGAAAAAGCGCAACCAAATGTCTTAAGACACAAATTAGCCAGAGGAACACCCCCACCTTCATATCCAAATGGATGGTATCGACTCTGTAGAAGTACAGAATTGAAGATTGGGTAGGGATTTGTCTTATAATTAATAGATAAGTAGAAGAAATCAAATTTGCTGGTCGACACATTGCTTACTATAGAGGAACAGATAAAGTTGTTTATGCTGTTGCTGCTTATTGTCCACATATGGGTGCTAATCTTGGAATTGGTGGATAAGTTAAATTCAAGTCTTGTATTGAATGTCCATTTCATGGATGGGCATTTGATGGTAAATCTGGATTATGTGTTAATTCTGAAAAATTAGATCCTAAAATTGTATCAACCTATTGTTACAATAATATTGAAAAGATGAATCCTAATTAAAAAGGAGAGTATTTATAAAAAGTAGAAGAAGGAGAAATTAAAATCAAAACTTATCTGGTGAAAGAATTAAGAGGGATTGTGTATATATGGCTACATTGTTTGGAAGCAAAACCATGGTATGAACCAGTGTTAGAATAAAGTGATCATCTTTAATTAAGAGGGGAGAGTGTGAATTATGTTAATTGTCACATTTAAGAAATTCCTGAAAATGGTGCTGATGCTAGACATTTTGATTATATTCATTCATCAGTTAATGACTATATTCCAACCTGGATAGTCAGTTTCAAATGGACAATGAAAAGTTTACCTGCAAATGACCCAGATTTCTATAAGAAGATGGAACATAGCAAAGAGAAGGTTCGTAAATACCAAAAGAATCTATTTGATCAGTATTTATCAAATAAGGATTTACGATAATATATGAATGTTTTATGTTTGGATGCTTATTTAGTATTCTTTAATAAATGGAAATTTAATGTAATTTGGGCAACTGGATTTTAAATGGGACCAGCAACAGTAGCCTTATATGTATTATCTGATGTTTTTGAAGCTTTATATAAATAGGCCATTCAACCAGTTGAAAGATTTAATTTGAAAGTGTTTCATACTTTATACACAACAAGTTCACTTCCATATTGGGCTAGTGCTTATATTTTAGGAGGAGAATTAAGATAAGTAATTGCAGATGTTAGTTTATGGAATAATAAGATCTTTACAGATAAGGTCGCTTATAATTTAAAAGGTGATGCAGATCCATTATTATTAAGATGGAGATAATGGTATGCTTAGTTTTATGAGGGATCCAGAGAATTTGAGAAAAGTTTAGATGCTCTGGAATGGTGAATATGAATTTAATAAATTAAAAATGTTATAATAAGAATAATTATTTATTGTTCTAATAGTGTTAGTTATAATAGCAATCATTATTGCACATTTAATAACCAAATGTTAAGGTAGAGAAAAAGAATAATAAGTAAAGGATAGATTGAGAAAGAAATTTATTAAAAATAATATTGAAACATTAAATGACATGAATGAAGAAGAAGCTTTATTACTATAGGAAACATATAAGAATACACTTGAGAATTCAAAACAAGGAAAAATTGCAAAATATGATGCTAGAATGTAAAAAATATAAGAAATTAGATAAAAAACTGTGAAATTTATTCTTACACATGAATGATTTTATAATTGTATATAATCATAATATTTCCATTTCTATCTAATTATATAGAAATAAAATTAATTAACAGTTCATGTATTTTAATATTATTTTATTTATTAATAATGCTCCCTGATTCTAAGTATGATATTGTTATTAACCATTAGTAATTAGCAATCAATTAAATTATCTCCTAAATTAAAGGGAATAATTGTATCCCAATTAATTAAGACATAATCTTCTCTCACTTTATAAGATGCATTTATAAGGTACACTACTTTACTATTCATTTTTAGATGGTAAGTAAGAACTAACCCTGAAATTGTGAAGAAGGCTGTTGACAAAATCCTATTGAATTCTAAGTTGAATTAATTTAACGCTTTCTAAAAACTCAAATTCTTATTAGGGTATTAAAAACTATAAGGTAAATAGTACTAAACCACCAAAGGAAGCTAGAATGAATGCAAGAAAAAAAAAGAATTTGAGTATTATCAATCTGGCCTTATTTATTCAAAAAAAAGAATTCTAACTCAAAAGATAGGCAATTGAATCAATTAAACCAAAATCATAAGACACAAATAAAATGCTTGGCTTATTATTATGGTCAATAAATTCAAAATATAGAGAAAGATATTTAAGAGAAAAATTTTAATGGTGGAAATTAATTGCTAAAATAAAATCAAATAAATTAGAAAAACAACTTAAAGCATTAGAAAAATTAGGAGAAGAATATAATATGAGAAATGATAGATTAGATAGATAAAGATTAAAAGAAGTAGATAATTATATAATTAATAATAGGCATTTGAAATTTGGAGAGGAGATTTATTAAATTTTAGATTAAAGAAAAAGTTTTTTGCTGTTCTCCTTAAAACAACATTTGGAAGATTATAAAGATGTTATACAAGATGGGTTGATTTACCAGATAAAAGAGAAAATGATATTAAAAAATAAGGATTATTATTAATTAATAAATTAGGCAATAAAGTAGATTAAAATAAAAGATTAGTTTGGAATGCATTCAAAGATATTCATGATGAAGCTAAAAATAAAAAAACTAAAGTTATTAGGGAATTAATTGAAGTGACATTCAATTAATCATATACAGCATTTTATAAATGGGCAAATTATAATACTTATGCTAAATTAACTGAAACTAATCTAAAGAAAATTAAATCATTATAATAGAGTGCAAATGTAACTCATTAATTAGTTAAACAAGAAACTTATAAATTATTTAATCTTAGTAATAAAATGTAAATATGTTCATTCCTAGACAAATTTATTTTGAAATTGCAATAAAGATAAAAATTAGATACTTTGAGATAAATTCAAAATTATTGTGTTTAAAAGAAAATGGAAGAAAAACTAAATAATATAAATAAATAAGACTTAATATAAAAATTAAAAGATACAGCAAATAAAACTGAAAAGGGATTGCTCAAATAAATTTTAAAGAAATTTTAAATCAATAAAATAAATGAAGAGATCAAAAATAAGTATTTTAATAGAATTCTATTAACTGTTAATGGATAATTAATTGATTCATTTAGAAAATGGAAAACCTTACCCAATCCTCATGATATTAATAATATTTAAAAGGCTTCTAAATTTTAAATTAAATTGTAAATGTTTATCAAAAATAAAAATAAATAAGCATATGATCCATTAAAATATCTATATTATGATGCCTTGTAAAAGAAGCGATTTTGTATAAGATAATTATTTTCAGTTACAATGAGTGCTCCTTAAAGATATTTAAAATAATGGTAGAATGTAACCAAAGTTTATAAATCAGTAATAGCATGTTAAAAAACAAATAATTTCTTTTATTCTTTAGCTATGATAATATAATCAAATATGCTTATATTCATTTAAAATAAAAAAGATATAGATAATAAAGAGAAATGCATCTAAAAAATATTAGCATCTCAACATAGTAATTTAGCTATAGCCTTTTTTAGATGGAAAAGTTATAATAAATAAGAGTAAATTTTGGAGAGATTGGGAGATGAAAAAATGAAATTTTTTATTTTAAATTTAAAGAAATTCTTAGAAAATGATAAAAAATAAAGATTAAGAAGAACTTTAAATTAATTTTATTAGAATCTATAGATAGCATAATAAATAAAGAAAATAAATCTTAGATTAATGTAAACTGTAATAGGATAAGTAAGTTCTAGTTTTTAGAAATGGAAATATTTACCAGAAGATAAGATAAATGGATAAACAGCAAAAGTAAGTAAATTTATGATATCTCTTGGAAGAGTTGCTTATAGATTTGTAAAAGTAAATTCATGGAATATTATGGAAGATTATCTATTAGATGGTTAAGCTAAAAAGAAATATTGTATAAACAAAATTATATCTATTGGATAAAGTGATATAAAAACAGCATTTTTGATTTGGCATAGAAGATCATGGGAAATGAAGATGTTTGATTAATTTTCATAATTGAATGTTACATTAAATGATGAAATAATTAAATAAAGATTAGTTAATTGGATTAATTCAGGTTATAAAGTAAAACATTATGCATTAATTGAAATATTAAAGAGATTTCATTAAAATGCAGAATCTTAAAATTTAAGAAGAAAAGCATTAGCAATAATACATAGAAATACAATCTCTTAAGTTTGGATATCATTTAATAAATGGAAATAAATTCCTGAATTTGATTATACTTAATTAGCAAAGGTAACTAAATTTGAATAATCATTTAATCATTTCTTAATTCGTTATATAAAGAAAAAGACTTGGAATCCATTACATGAAATATATGATGATGCACTTGCAATAAAAAAGAGAGCAGTATTACTACTTGTTAAAACATAAGAATCAGAATAATAAAAGGCACTTAATAAATGGAATAAGAATGTATGTTTGATTTAGGAAGTTTAGAGATGTAAGAGTGTTATATAATTATTTAAATTTATTGGTAATCAAATTTAATGTAATTTATAAATTATGCAACCAAATACAGAATCAAAATTAAAGGAAAAAGCAATATTAAAGATAATTGAAGGAAATAATGATAACATTAGATATTTCTTTATGAGATGGATTAATTACTTAAAATTTGAAAGAATATAAGCAATAGAAGGAGAAAAAAAAGAATTTTTGATTCGTTAGATAGGATTCTTTTATAAAAATAACATAAAATCTAAATTAAGATTGGTATTATCTAAATTCAAAAGAAATTCAATATTAAGTGCAGTTTAATAGAAGTTTTTTTCAAGATTATTTGCTACTAAATTTGGAGGAGCAATTGTAGCATTTTAGAAATGGAAAAATCTACCTGAAATATAAAATTATGAAGATATTAAAAAAGGAAGAAAATTAGAAAAATTATTGGAAAACCTTTTTAGAGGGAGAATCAAATTATCATATGATCCATTAAAAGATGAATATTAAGAAGCTATAAATAAGAAAATGCATTGCATTAGAAAATTAATTATCTTAGGAATGGGATTAAATAAGAGATTATTTTTATAATGGAGAAATACTAATAGGTTATTAAAATCTATTGAAACTTGTAAATAAACTACAAATTTCTTCTAAACTCTTGCATTTACAATATCTGGAAATGTCTAAGTTATTTTTAAGACTAATCAACTTTAAGAGAAAGTCTTTTAAAAAATGTTAACATAATATACCAACTTATTAAGATGGGCATTTATTAAATGGAATAATTAAGCTAAATCTGATAAAATTGCCTCATTAATGGATGAAGAGAAAAAAAAGTTATTATTATTTGCTCTTTAAAGAAATTTAAAACATAATGAAATTGGTTAATTAAGAGATATCTTAAGAAAATTTAATGATGGTAGAAATAGATTAAATTTAATTAAAAAATTATAATTAAAATTATTACATACATTTGCAGGTTAAATTGAAACATCATTTTTGAAATGGAAATAATTACCTGATCAATCTAAAATAAAATAAGCATCAATATTTGAATAGAAGATTAATTCATTTAAAATGTAAATATTAAAGAAGAATAGTTTTAAATATTTATAAAATATATACTATGATGGATAAGCAAAATAGAAATATGCAATAAATAAAATGATGTTTAATTGTATGAGTGTAGAAAAGAAGGTATTCTAATAATGGAATAAAGTAAGTGAATTATAAAAAACAGAAGAGAGAGCTAGTAAAGTTTTTAGATTTTTTGGTTCAATAAATCAAATTCAATAAAATCATATGTATTTCTTCTATGAAGATTAAATTAAATAATTGAAAAAGTAAGAAGAATTAGTTCGTTTATTAAAAGAATGGGAAGATATGTTTAAAGATTCTTATTAGAAATGGAAATAAACTCAAGCAAAATTAGATTTATTGGCTAGTTAAAATAGATAGAAATAGAAATTTTCTATCATTGAAATACTAAAAGATTATATTTAGAATAAAAAGAATTACAATTTAAGATTGATATTAAGAAAGTTTAGTAATTCTAATAAGAGCTAAAAGGCAGTTAATAAGTTTTTATTGGGAATATCAAATTCATCAATTGGTTAATTACATAATTCATTTTAAATGTGGAAGAGATTACCTGAACCCTAAAAAACTAAATAAGGATATATATTTGAAAAGAAAATGTTTAGTTTATTCAGAAGATAACTATTACTATCATTTGATAGTTTATAAGATATTTATTTTTAGGCATTAAATAAAAAGAAAAGAGTTTTATTATTATTAGTAAGATGCACTAAATCATAATAATAATAAGCAGTATAAAGATGGCGTGATGCAATTAAATAAATGAATTAATAAGAAATATAGAATGTATAAGAAAATAGAAAGTTAGCTATATAATTATTTTATTAACACAAAATGAATTAGTTGAATGTAGCCTTTATTGAATGGAGAGATACAATTAGAATAAATGTAAATAAATAAGAAAATAAAACTTAAAAGTAAGAAAGATTAAAAAAAGAAGCCATTTTATTATTCCAAAATTATGCATATGTAAGATTAAGAGTTTATTTCACTTAATGGAAGATAAGAGCAGTTAAAAGAAATATGATATAGATTTGTTAAGCAATCTAAAGAATGATATAATTAAATAGATTTTCTGAAAAGGCAATTAAAAAATATGTTATGGATATTTGGAGAGGATAGCCATCCAAAAATAAATGGTTTAAGAGAGTTGCTGATATTATAGCTAAGAATTCAAGAATTAGTAAATAAGTAGCATATTGGAGAATGAGAGACAATAGTTTAAATTAAAAAGCAGTTGGGTTATCTACTCAATAAATTATTAAATTTAAAAAACTATTCAATAATTTATGTAAAGCTTTTGATAGAATAAAACAAAGAGCATTTACTCATTTAGAACATTATGGTAAAGGTATACCTGATGATAATTCATTTTAACCTTCACATTCTAGTTTCTTGTAATAGACTCCTATCAAGGAAGCTTTCTTCAAATCAGATATAGATTCAATCATATCAAAAAATGGTCAAAAGATGGCCCTTAATACTATTTCAAGAATCTTTAGAATATATTTCAAATAGAGATTTATTGAATTTATGATTGAATTAGATGATTAGAAATAAAGAAGTATATCCACTCCTTAGAAAAAAGGAGTTGAAAAATTATTTGCAATTCTAGAATAGAATTTGAAATTGAAACAATAAGTTATATGTTTTTAAATATCATAAGTAATTATAATAATAAGTTATTTAGGTTAATGAATAAGGAGTACTGAATTAAATTAATGAAATTATTAATTATTAAAATTCAACTTAAAGTGCTAGTAGATTAGAATTAAGTTAAATAAAGGAATAATAAATAAAATTAAATGAATAAGAGAGAATGATAGAGGATTTAAAAGAGAAAATAAGATACATGGCAATTAATAGGTATAATTTCTTAATAAATCTTATAGATTAGTCTAAGCCTTAGAAAAATGTGAAGATCATTTGGTTGAGGATGCATTTTTAGGCATATATGAATACTAACTTAAATGAATAATTATCATATAAAATGAAGCAATATCAATATATTTTGATTGATGAAATTAACATTATATATTTAATCATGGGAAACACAACTTCTAATCATCCTTAAATCACAGAAGTCTTAACAGAATATCCTTTTTAACATAAAAATTGTCGTATAGCCTCTCATTCTTCATAAAGAAAAATATTAAAAGCTGCTTCAAAACAAAATGAATTACCACATAAAAGTAATCGTAAATTTGCTCCAAATATTGTCAAATCCTTAGAGTTTAAGAGTGAAGGTAATCATTACATAAAAATCAAACAATATAAAAAAGCTATTGAATCCTACACAAAAGCAATTGTAAGTTGTACTATCTAAACTAGAATCTATATAATCATGATTCTATCTACTTCTCAAATCGTTCAGTAGCTAATAAGCTTCTTAATAGATTCTAGGAAGCTAAACAAGATGCTTTATAAGCTATTTTAATAGATTAGTACAATTCAAGAGCACATTTTCTTTATGGAACTGTGATTTTGATTGAAGTCCAAATGTTTCCTGACATTAGTGAAGCTCTCATTAAATAAGCATAATTGGGAATCGAAGAACTTGAAAAAGGTAACATAATCTTAATTTTTAAAGCTTCTGAATAGGTTAAATAAAATAAAAATGAATAAAAAAATAAATTAAAGGTCTTGATTAATTAAAATTTGGCTAAAGGAAAAAGAATGATATATTTGATAAGATAAGAAATAGATAAAAGAAGTACTAACTTTTTAATCATATATAATTAGATATCCTAACTCTAAAATAAACTCTAACGGATATTGCACATAGATAACATCATCACTTTGATTGGAATTAAATTGATCAGATAATCCATAAGAAAATTGAAATTATTTTACCAGAATGCTTTGTTTGTCCAATCACATATGAAATTATGAATGAACCAACACTAATCAATTCAGGATTAACATATGATAAACATAGTATTTAATAACAGTTTAAGTTAAATGGCTATTTTGATCCTATGACTAGAGAGAATATAGATCCTTTGGGTTTGATATAGAATATCTAATTATAATAAGGAATCTAATAAATCTAATAGTAATATGGATGGGTAGGGATAGAAAACGAAAAAGATTACAAGGCAATTAAATTTGAATGACTTACTTTGTAATATTTATAAAAATAATAACTCTCATTTCTTTTTATTTAGTTTTTTTGAAATCTTTTTTTTAATCTAAACTTTTTTATTTTGTCCTTTTTATTTACCTTTAACAACTACTTCAACAACTTTCTATTTTGTAGGTTTTCTTCCTGGTTTTAATTTTTATTATTTAGATTAAGCTTTCTAAACATTTGGTACTTTTTAAGTGATAATTTAAGGTTTTGATTTTGGTCTTCCTTTTTATTTTTTTTGATTTTTTTCTTCTTTTTATTTATCATGTTCTTTATCAATTTTTTGTGATTATTCTTTTGTTTTTCCAATTTTTCCAGGTTTTCCAGATTTTCCTGGTTTTCTACCTTTTTTCTTTTTTTATTATTCATTTACAATTTATCCATCTTAATTATTATCTAAAACACAATTATTTAAAGTTAAATCTGCAATTGAACACAAAATTCCATCAAATAAATATCCTTATATTTTTTATTATTCATTTTCATTGTCCATATTTGTAAATGGATAATTAGCTTAAACTAATTTCAATTCTTATAGTTTTTATTATATTTCTAATTCTTAATTAAGCATTGTTACCTCTTTCTCAATAACTTCTTTTTAATATTATTTCCATTATGTTTATGATTCTTTACTTATAATAAATATGTAATTATATACTTTTTTAATTGTAGTTATATATAATCTAATTTTGCTTAGTAATCAATGTTTTTTAAGTTAATGGTTGTGATTGGCTATGTTGATTATTTATTTTTATTCATAAAAAATTTATATAATATTTATATTAACTCATAAATTTAATAATTATTTGGATTAATTTCTACAGTAAGTTGTTGGGAGTATTATAGATATTTATTTATAAATATCAAATTTTAACAATTAAGGAATTCCAGATTTAATTAAATCTTATACAACTCTACAAAATGATAATTCAATTTATGATAATATTTTCAATATGATTTTGTCTACTTATAATAAATTACATAAAGACAGAGCAAAATATAAAGCTGAATCTCTAACATTTACATCAATACTGTAACTTCCCTGATTCTATTCAAAAATTAAGGTCTTACAAATAATAGGAATAATTGATTCTAATTTATTTTCAAGAATTAATCTTCTTTTACACAATTCTTCTAATGCTAAACAAACACCATGTCATGCAATATCACATTAATTGGAGTGAAACATGTATTGTTTAATGAATCATATATATCATCTGCTTAATCTAAATATAATCTAGCGCAAATCGGAATGTACAATTTATAAATAATTATTATTATTCATATATTTATATATCTAATGTATCTACAAAAGTTTCTAATCCTTTTAATCAATAAAATAATCTACATCTTCTAATTAAATATTTGATTATTATTATTACACGAGTTAACAATAAATTTTAATGATTAATATAGATTTGTTGTATATTTTTTATATGTCAAACTAAGTACTCCAATTTTTTAAGTTAATTCAGTAAGAAATAAATTAATTAATTTAACTTGTTATTTTAAGTTTAGTAAAAGAACTCTTTATACAACCTTAGAAAGTTCTACTAATGTTTCCAAAATAATTGTGATACAGAAAGTTTTAATATGTATTATCTTGCAATTAATAAATTTGTTTGAAACTTCAGTGAAATGCCTTAAATGGCATTAAAGATTTAAGAATCTATTTAATGTTAATCAAATGGAACTACAATTATCATCCTTAACCACATTAGAATAACATATAGTTTGACTATTCTAATTAAGATCGGTGAATAATTTTATAAATACATAACAACTGGTTCTAAATTACAGATATCCTATGGAAAATATCTCTCATTTTTAAGAAAATATAAAATGCACAAATTTTCGAATTTTACACAATTACTTTTTTCAATATTATTTACATTTTTTTACACAAATACCTTTACTACATCCATCAAACTAACACTAATCTATACTAAATTGAATCTAAATTAACAATTATTTTCATTTTGCACAATGATTTTCTAATAATTATTCAGAGTTGCTATATGTTAAATTCTATTTTTCTTCCTCTTCCTTCTGATTCATAGTAAAATGCCATTTTATTTTAGAAAAGAAATTAATATTAATTTTTATTCTTATAATTATCATAATTATTCACTTAATTTTTATATATGATTCCAAAATTCTTCTACATTCTATTTTGTTGTTGTATGATTCGCAATAGATATTCTTAGATAGAATATACCCTTAATTTCTGATCCGCTTATAAATCCATTCATCGTATTTTAATTTATTAATTCTTATAATTTTCTATTCAATTTGTTTTATATAGCTAAATCTTCATTAACCAATATAAATGTGACTAATCCCAATTATGGTTTTGTAAATAATCTGAATTTATTAGATGCTTTCACTAATTGTTCAAAATGATTAGCTACTTCTATCTTCTATAATATCTATTCTCTCATACCATTCAATCCTAAACTTTTTATCATCCAAAACATTTTAATTGAATTAAATCTTTTTCCCAAAGCTACTTACCAATCCTTGTAATCCCATACATCATAATTATCTGTAAATTTATTCTTATAAATCTCAAAATCTATCTTATTTCCCATTGCTTCAGCTAATTCACTTTTATCATTAACATAAAATAAGCTTCCAGTCAACCCACACATCATCAATTTTGCAAAGTTTATTTCTATAGAATCAGCAAATTCTAATCCTTAGGCTTTTTCTCTATATTCATTTATAAGCCAAGATGATCCAGCATATGCAGCATCCACATTAAACCAAATTTAATATTTCTGACAAATCTCTCCTAATTTATCTATTGGATCAAATGCACAAGTTCCTGTTGTACCAAATGAACAACTCAACCAAAATGGAATCAATCCATCTTTGATATCTTATTCTATTATCTCTATTGCTTTCTCTAAATCAACAACATAATTCTGTAATTCATCATTAAAAATAACTGGTAGTTTCCTTTAATAATAAATGTCCTTTAAATGCAAAGCTTTTGTAGCACAAGCATGAGCGCTTTCAATATAATAACCTACAAATTTGCAGATCTAAGCAGAATCTGTATTTATATTCAATTACTTCATCTTTCTTCTTTTAGCTGCATGTACTGAAATAAATATTGCATCTGAAACTGTGCCAGCAATTGTTCCTCCTCCTTAATTTTTCATCAAAAATTTAGTTGGTAAATCTAAGCCATAGACTACCCAATCTACTACAATATTTTCCAATTCAGTTTATGCTGGAGAAGCTAACCATTGAAATCCAGGTGTTCCAAAAGCTGAAGCAAATATTTCTGCTATTATTGATGCATGTGTAATATTCGATGGATAATATGCATAAAAGTTTGGATGACTCCATAAAGTCAGTCCTGGAAAAATCTATATATGTAATTTAATAATATTTACTTTAGTTTCTGTTTCTTATAATATGTTATCGAGTGACTCTGGTTCCAAAGGAGGCTTTTCTGAAAATTATTGTCTCAAGAATCCTGGTTAAACCTAAGGGACTACAGGATATTTTAAATTAGCTATGTCTTCAAATTTATTGGACACCATTTACAACATTTTTGTACCAGCTTCCACTAATATTTCTGTATTTAAGAACTTCTTGCTCATTATCTAATAAATTACGTTATCTAATTTATATTAAATAATTACGAATATATTTTTTTTTTAATTAAAAAATTTTGGAACATTTCAACCACAATATTATTTCAAAAATTAATTAAACATTGATTATTAATTATATAATATAATTCAAGTCTAAATTTAAATATATAAATCTTATTATTAATAATATTATTATACAAATTCATGGAGTGCCTCAGATTAGAAATAGTATTACCTTTGTGCATCATTGCACTCTATTATTTTTATTATAAAAAATTTAGATTCTTTGTAATAGAGGAGAAAAAGAAGGAAAACATTATTAGACACAAATAAATAAGAGGCAATTGTCCACCTTCATATCCAAATGGATGGTATCGACTCTGTAGAAGTACAGAATTGAAGATTGGGTAAGGATTTGTCTTATAATTAATAGATAAGTAGAAGAAATCAAATTAGCTGGTCGGCACATTGCTTACTATAGAGGAACAGATAAAGTTGTTTATGCTGTTGCTGCTTATTGTCCACATATGGGTGCTAATCTTGGAATTGGTGGATAAGTTAAATTCAAGTCTTGTATTGAATGTCCATTTCATGGATGGGCATTTGATGGTAAATCTGGATTATGTGTTAATTCTGAAAAATTAGATCCTAAAATTGTATCAACCTATTGTTACAATAATATTGAAAAGATGAATCCTAATTAAAAAGGAGAGTATTTATAAAAAGTAGAAGAAGGAGAAATTAAAATCAAAACTTATCTCATTAGAGAGATAAAAGGGATGGTTTACATTTGGTTGCATTGTAAAGAAGCTAAACCATGGTATGAACCTATGGTAGAGAAATGTGATCACTTACAATTAAGAGGAGAAAGCATAAACTATATTAATTGCCACATTTAAGAATTTCCGGAAAATGGAGCAGATATTCGCCATTTTGATTATATTCATGCATCAGTGAGTGATTTTATACCCACTTGGCTTATTAAGTTTAAGTGGAATATGAAAAGTATGCCAGCTAATGAACCAGATTTTTATAAAAAAATGGAACATCCTAAAGAAAAAATCAGAAATTATTAAAAAAAATTATTTGATCATTATCTGTCAAATAAAGAATTAAGACCTTATATGAATGTTTTATGTTTAGATGGATCTCTTATGTTCTTTAATAGATGGAAAATCAACGCATTATACATAACTGGATTTTAAATGGGGCCAGCAACCATATAATTATATATATTATCTAGTTTATTTGAAGTTTTTTATAAATAAGCCTTGCAACCAGTTGAAAAATTCAATCAAAAAGTCTTCCTAACATTACACATAAATTCATATTTACCATATTGGCTTAGCGCATATATTTTATCCGGAGGCTTGCGATAAATTATCTCAGATGTTAGTGTATGGGATAATAAAATATTTGCAGCTAAAAGCTGTTATAATTTAAAAGGAGATGCTGATCCTGTATTGATGAGATGGAGATAATGGTATTCACAATTTTATGAGGGTTCAAGAGAATTTGAATAAAAGTTAGATTCATTAGAATGGTGATGCATCTATTATAATCATTAATATAAATAATATTTTAGAGTAATTTGATTAGATATAAAATTCTGAAAAAATATATCCCTATCATAATTTAAGATTTCTTTATGTTTTCAAGTTCCAAGAATAGAGTGAAATGAATTCTTTTGAAGGATATGATATATTAATATGTCGATATATTAACTTAAGTATTACCTTTTTCAAATAAATGTCATTTTTTCAAAAGAATGTAGATGAAATGAATATTTTGATGAAATTTGTGTGATGATCCATTTAGCGCGAAAGCTGCCTAATCAATAATAGTGAAATTAAACTTGTCATAATTGAAGATAAATATATGATCGCTTTCAACACTTTATCTAAAAAAGAAAACTTTAAAAGAAATGAAGATTTCATTTTTAATGATTCCAAAAATTTATGGAAATAATATTCTATAAATAATTATTCAGACTATAAAATGAGATAATTAAATATACATTCCATAAATCTTCTTTTTCAAATATCTCATAATTATTTTAAATACTGATTGATAATAGTTTGATTTTCATATTTTAATTTCATTTCACACCATTCATGCACAATTAGATTCAACTGGGGGGAATGTGGTGTTATATACACATAATTGTAAATACTTTAAAACACCTCCTGTTAAAAAACCTACTTTATAAACAAAAGCATTCTCCATAAAAAATAAATAAATTCTTAGCCCATAATTTAATTGCTAATTTTATCAAAAAATTTTGTATTAATTAAACTTTAACATTCCACTTTAAATATTAAAGCATTAATAAATCTTTACTCATTGTTCAATGATATTGATTATCGTTAATATCTTTGCTCGATCAATATAAAAAGTTTATCTTTTGTTACGCTAAACTCTAGTTGCTAGAACAATTGTTATTAATTCTAATTATTTCAAATTTTATTAGAATATATGTTTATTTTGTTTATGAAAAAGATTAAATAATTTTTAAATCTAATTATTACAATTTTATTGGATTATATGTTGCGATTGTTATTTTAGAAGATAAAATTATTTTTCAATCTAATTATTACAATTTAATTAGATTAAAAGTTAATATTGTTTATTAATTAGATATAATTCTTATTAAATCTAATTATTACATATTTAATTAGAATATTTGTTAATATTGTTCATGAAATAGATATAAATCTTATTAAATCTAATTATTATAATTTTATTAGATTATATGTTATATATATACAATCAGAGTAAAATAAACAAATGATGAAATTTTTCAAATTTAAGGCAATCAAATAATGTATAATTTCATTAACAATGAAAATGTAAATTCTTACATTATTTTATAAGCACACTGCATTTTTGTATTTTTTTAATATTTTAGCATTTAGAAATATAAAAGAATAAAGAAAAATTCATTGTTGGTATAAGGGAGAGAGTTTATAATTTTGATGAAAATTAGATTGAATTAAAAATAGAGGTAATCAAACCTTTTAATTTTAGAAATTAAAGGTACTTCAAACAAATTAAGTTTTTATAATAATTACACAAACTCTTATTTACTATATTTAAAATTATTATAATCGAACCATTTTTGTGTATTCTATCAATATAAATGTAATCTTTGAACTAAAATATGTATTCCCAAATTATTATCCTAACTTTCTAAAGAGTTAATCATTTATACATTTAATTGAAAAATTTCAAAGAATATTTTATCATAATTTTTTTATGAAAAGGCACAGTACTGGGAAAAAATTTCACAGGATAAAAGGATTGAAAAAAGCTGATCCAAATGCAATTATTTCTTAAACCCCAAAATAAATAGAAGATTTTATAGAAAATCTAAAATCTTAGGGATCTCTTATTAAAAAAGTTAAATATGCATACTTTTAAACAAAAAATGGTTTGAAATATCCAGGTTTGATTGGTATTTTTACATTCCTTTATCTAGCAACTGAGCCTATTGTACCAAATGATACTCTTGTTACTCTTCCAAGATAAACGTTGTTAACTACAAAATAAGCATTTGAATCACCATTAAAGCCAATTTTTTTAGAATACCCATAATTTTTTAGTCCTTAATTTCATTCCAAATGGGAATATCATTAAATTCTTGCTTTCCTATTATATGAATATTAAAGAGGAGCTGAATCTAAATGGTATCATATGATTGTCAACTTCCCAAAAGATGTCGATTATGCTGTATATTGGAATACAGAAGACTTAGAGTTGTTAAAAGATGACAATATCATCAAAAGTGCAAGAAAAAATTTAGTAGAGCTTTTAGTTACTTTTTAAACTCTTAGGTATATAACAGATAAATTCCCAAACCTTTTTAAACCTGGAGTAGTAACAATGGATAATACTATATGGATTCATACAAGTATTGTAACAAGGTGTTTTGGAGGTTAAGGATTAAAATATGTTACAATGGTACCATTTTGTGAACTCTTTAATCATGAATGTGCTGATGTATGTTACGATCTTGAATAATAAGATAACAGCACAAGGTACAATTATGAATTTATGACGAAAAAATTGGTTCATGGATAACACAATGATGATGAGCTGTCAATTACTTCTTCAGAAAACTCTTAGCTTTCTGAAGATGACATGAGCGATTCTGAATTTGTATCTGGCGAATATAATTAATATATAGAATTTGATTTTGATGAATTTAGTCAGAATTCTATAAGAAATTTTGAAGATAACATGAGCTTCATGCAGAAAACATAAATAAGAAATGAAGAATTAATTAAAATGAGAAAAGAATTCAATATTAAAATGAATATTTAAAAAGATGTTTTCTAATTAGCTATAGATTGTAAAGCATTTTTATTTTAAAATATTGATTTTGGAGATAATTTTTCCATATTTTTTTTAGAGTAAATCTTTTATAAGTTGGATACATTAATTTAATAATATTTCAGTGCTGATAAGTCATCTTATGAAGTAAGAGAAGAAATCAATAAAATTAAAAATCATTGCAATTTATATCAAAATTATTGGTATTCTTTTTAAAATCAAATCTTAAAAAGACCAATCTAGCAAAAATATAATATTTTTGCTCAAAAGATTGGCAAGAGACCAAAAAGAAATATATTTAGCATGGAATAAATATTATCCTAACCAGTTGATCGAAATTGCGATTATTATACACCAATTTTCAAGTAAGAGAATTTTAAAAATCTACTTATGAGAACGAGAGATCCTTTTGAAAAAGGGGCATAAGTTTACTTTTGTTATAGTAGATTATCAAATAGAAAAATGCTACTTAAATATGGAATGGCTCTGGAGTATAATAAATATGATAGTGCATTTTTAAGGGTTGAATTTTTCAAATATATCAAAAATAAGGTAGGTCTTTGGATAATTCATAGATTTAAACTCAACAAATTAAAGAGATTCAAACTTAAGCATATAATTCCTCCTTATGAATTTATAGTATTTTGTAAATTAATTTATTGGTAAAATATGTTTGATATCCATTTTTTAGGAACTCAAATGTTCATTCTGTAGATACCATTTTTAAGATCTAAGATTTATAATTAGAGAGAAAAGCTTTATCTTTAGCTCTTGAGATTTTGCTTGAATAAAATTCTAAATTTAAGGAAACAGTTGAGGACCTTGAGTAATAATTGCTAGATAAAAGTTTAGGATATCATTAGTATTTTGCAGTAGTATATAGATTAGAAAAATTGAGGATATATCGAAGAAATATTTAGTATTATTTTTATGCTATCAAGTCTAATTAATATCATTATAATTGTGCTTGATAAAATGATGAATGGAGTTCCATTTGAATAAGCAAGTGAAAGAACAGAATACGATTTCGATTTTTATGAAACAAATAGATACATATTAAGGAAATATTTTGATTAGTTAAAATGGGCAATTTATCAATCAAAATGACATTATTTATTTAGTTGTATTATAACAAAGTTATTTTATTTTAAGTTATTCTATTAAGAACTTTTTAAAGCAGTAGAAAATAAGAAATTTAATTTTTTTTTTAAATTAAGTAATTTTTCAAAAAGTTAATGGAATTTTATATTCATATTTGGAAATCAAATAAATTATTTATTAGGATGATTAAAACTCTATCATATTATTTTTTAGTATTAATATATTAATGAGTACTTATGTTGATTATTTTAAAGAAGCATTATTTTTTAATTCAAATTTGTCAATATTTTTGACCTTTTTCTAAATTATAAATGGCTGGATAGGAGGAAACCTAGAAGTTTCCAAAAGAATTATTTAGATTATATTAATTTGATATGAAATTTGAAAGATATTAAATAAATTTTTGATTCTAGATTACATTTAAATATGATATAAATTTAATTGAGCATTTAATGAGATTCAAATACTATTTTTATGAAGGTCTTCTGATAAAATTTTTAATTTTACAACCAATAAAAAAAGTAAAACTTTTCGCAGTATTAACCTAAATTGAAAATTTAATTTTATGAGTATTTATTTAAGTGGAGAATATTATTAAATAAATAAATAATAAAAGCTTTTTATCATTAATAAAATAATATTTTATTAATAGTAATAATTTAAAAAAATCACTAGTAATTTAATTATTCTTTTGAAGGCATTCTAGGATGAACTTTGTTGGAGGAAATAACCTTACCTATCTACTTTTTTGTTAACTTAAAAGTCTCAGAACATCAAATATCCATAAGAAGTTTCCGTTAACAATTCTTTATCATCTGATGAATTATGCAATCATATGATATTGCTTTGTCGAATGCCATCTATGTCTGTAATTCTAAAACCTGATTTTAAGTTAAAGGTTGGAGTTTAGGAATAGTTAGGGATTTATATTATATTAATTTCGAATTCCTAACTACTTAAAAAAAATTAGGAAATACTTTTGAACAAGTGATCAATTCTTGATTTTCGTTTAATAATAATTAGAAAATCTGCCATCTCTTTTTTCTTTATTAACTATCATTGTTTTCTTCAGTAACATAAATAGGAATTTCTGTTTTCTGAAAATAATTTCTGAAGTATTCCTATAACGAGATGTGATGATTATATTTAATTTAGNTATAATTGTGCTTGATAAAATGATGAATGGAGTTCCATTTGAATAAGCAAGTGAAAGAACAGAATACGATTTCGATTTTTATGAAACAAATAGATACATATTAAGGAAATATTTTGATTAGTTAAAATGGGCAATTTATCAATCAAAATGACATTATTTATTTAGTTGTATTATAACAAAGTTATTTTATTTTAAGTTATTCTATTAAGAACTTTTTAAAGCAGTAGAAAATAAGAAATTTAATTTTTTTTTTAAATTAAGTAATTTTTCAAAAAGTTAATGGAATTTTATATTCATATTTGGAAATCAAATAAATTATTTATTAGGATGATTAAAACTCTATCATATTATTTTTTAGTATTAATATATTAATGAGTACTTATGTTGATTATTTTAAAGAAGCATTATTTTTTAATTCAAATTTGTCAATATTTTTGACCTTTTTCTAAATTATAAATGGCTGGATAGGAGGAAACCTAGAAGTTTCCAAAAGAATTATTTAGATTATATTAATTTGATATGAAATTTGAAAGATATTAAATAAATTTTTGATTCTAGATTACATTTAAATATGATATAAATTTAATTGAGCATTTAATGAGATTCAAATACTATTTTTATGAAGGTCTTCTGATAAAATTTTTAATTTTACAACCAATAAAAAAAGTAAAACTTTTCGCAGTATTAACCTAAATTGAAAATTTAATTTTATGAGTATTTATTTAAGTGGAGAATATTATTAAATAAATAAATAATAAAAGCTTTTTATCATTAATAAAATAATATTTTATTAATAGTAATAATTTAAAAAAATCACTAGTAATTTAATTATTCTTTTGAAGGCATTCTAGGATGAACTTTGTTGGAGGAAATAACCTTACCTATCTACTTTTTTGTTAACTTAAAAGTCTCAGAACATCAAATATCCATAAGAAGTTTCCGTTAACAATTCTTTATCATCTGATGAATTATGCAATCATATGATATTGCTTTGTCGAATGCCATCTATGTCTGTAATTCTAAAACCTGATTTTAAGTTAAAGGTTGGAGTTTAGGAATAGTTAGGGATTTATATTATATTAATTTCGAATTCCTAACTACTTAAAAAAAATTAGGAAATACTTTTGAACAAGTGATCAATTCTTGATTTTCGTTTAATAATAATTAGAAAATCTGCCATCTCTTTTTTCTTTATTAACTATCATTGTTTTCTTCAGTAACATAAATAGGAATTTCTGTTTTCTGAAAATAATTTCTGAAGTATTCCTATAACGAGATGTGATGATTATATTTAATTTAGTAATATTCTTTAAATATATTTTCTGATGATAGCGCTAATAAAATTTATCAAAAAGTCTTCATCAAAATTCTGAATTTTTGAGATTCTTTATTGCGTTTTGCTAATCGATATATATAATTTCAGAGTTGATCCTCATTTACTTTTTGTCTTTTTCTAATTTTGTCTCAATCAAATAATGATCTGATTCTTATTACCAATAAAACTAAACTTTCATTTTTAGCTATTGATTAGATAGAATGAGATTAGTTTATGAGTGAGTAATGTTATTGAAATTTTTCTTTAGAAATTTTTTTTTTTTGATACTAAATAATTGAGGAATGGAATAGGATTTTTTCATAATTGAAATCTCTACATATTAGTAATGTCGTTTACTATCCTATTTATTACATGATTTGAATTATTGATTGCTTAAAGTTGTGCAATTTATTTTAAAATTCCTTTCTACTTTAGATTAATAAATTTGTTATATTTTGTGAATAGAATTATTTCTGAACTCTTATCATTAAAATAGTTAATAATTCTCAATATAGTGCTTAGGAAATGATAAGAGAAGGAATTAATTATTATCAGATAAATTAAACACTATATACAGCAACACTAGTATATCTAAACAAAAGCTACAACTGTTGCACTTTTAGTAAAGAATTATTTCTTCTTTTTGAATAGTTTTGAAAATTTATGATTTTAACTTGAAACTAAGTTTGTTTAATTATTTCAAATTGAGAATTTCTCTACTATTATTATTTTAATTATTATAAGTTAAATTAGTAGTTATACTTTTTGAAATTATTCAAAATACTTTTTAATTAAAAACAGTTTGATTTTTGATATATTTTTGAACGATGTATTTGATCTATTTATCATCTCAAGTAATTTACAGACTTTCTTATTAGTTCGTATTTCAATAAGCAATATTCTCTAATAAGAATTAAAATTATACATAGTTATTAAATTAAATTGTTATTTAAACTCATATATAAGAATCATCATCAGTTCTTCTTATATTTTTGCATTATAAATAAGGATATTTGGTATATTCTTATTTTTTTGATATTTATTATACTCAGGTAAGAAAACAGCTTATTCTCAGTTTATTCATATTAAAAATCTTTTCATTCTTCTACTAATCAGCTTAAAACGAATCATCATTTTAGTTTTGTTCTAATCTCCTCTTTTTTTGAAATATTTAAGGTAAAGAGTCTCAACTTTAGCTAATTAGGACTATGATTTGAATTCAATTTAACCTACAAACTAAAAGTCTAATAATAATAATTATTATTATTCTATTCAATATAAAGATAACTCAATCAACAAGTCATAAACTATGCAATTATTTTTTCAAATGTATTAGATTTTTTTGTTTATGTTGATTCCCAATTATCACTTGAAAATCTTCTTAAATTTATTAAAACCTCTGAAATATGGAATGAAATTTTATGAGATGAAAGATTAGATTAGTGGGTTTTACAGATTTTTAGGTACAAAAATACTAATTAAATTGCTGGGAAGAACTTTGTAAAATCATTTCTTGACTGTAATTATATAATTATTGATAAAAATAGTTTACCCAAAGTTTAATTATTCATATCTTTAATAATTTTGTTTCGAATTTTTGCTATAAAGTAGTCTAAAGGAGGTAGTAACAGGTCTAAAAATTCGTTTTTTAGGCATTTAGGAAAACCACAAAATTTCTTTCAATTAGATTTATATAAATTTTATAAGCTCTGAAATATATTTTTTAAAAACTGAGTTGGGATAAAAGATAAAATAAAGTATTTGTGGCAGCAGGAAGGTTTAGAATAATTAAGATTTCTGTTTCCAGTTCAATTTTTATAAGCTTCATGACAACTTTCAATATTATAAATTTTACACTATTCTATCAAGTTAAAAATTAATTTTTCCATTCATAGTATAAATACTCCAAGAATTAATAAAGTTTAATACAAGCAAATTAAATAGAGGGGACTTAAAATTGTTATAGGTTGAAACTAAGTTATATTAGGAATATCAGGAAAAAAACTTAGTGGATTAATCTTTAACTTTGGTAGGGGTTGGGGTTGGGTTTTGAAAGTTGTGTTTAGGATAATGTCTTACTTCCTCTACGTATTTAATTCTTTTGGGATGCAAACTTTAACATTATTATGGTGTGGAATAGCTTCCCAATGTCAAAATTCATTAAGTACTCAACCAATTAAAAGTGCAAATTTGAGTTTAACTAATTAAACTCTTTTAAGATTAATCTTACCTAAATTCCATATGACAAGGTTCCTTTAGTAAGATAATGCAAGAGATGTGGTTTTGCAACAAATGAGCCCTCTGTTAGGTTAGAAGATGATGTTAAACATCTATTACAATATTTGTGCAGTTTTTTCATTATTGATGAGAAGAGTTCAAACCCAAATTAAATGAAGGTTCCCTTTGAGAAATATTTTAGCATATTATTCAATTATTATTATTATTATGAAATTTAATAAAAATCATAAATTGATGATTTATCTCAATCTCTATCTATAGATAATTAATAAAATCTGGTTTATTTATTTAACCTACTTATAAATAGCCTGCCAGAATTGGATATAAAAAAGATAATTTTTTTCAAAAATTGTCAGTTCTTTAATATTAAAATAATTATCCTAAGAGAATAGAATCAAACTAATTACAAATACTTATAAAATCAATATGACTGAATGATTAAGCTCTAATTTATCTTCGGTCTTAGTTTGTGATTGCAATTGATATTTTTTCAATTTTTCATGGAACAATTTAGGGTATTAATTTCTTTTAATTAATTCAATGAAGGACCTGTTAAAACGGGAAATAAGAGCAATTAATCTTTATTTTAGATAGAATTTTTTCTTGTAAGGGAATCTATTTTTAATGGTGACATTATTATAGCTTAGCATAAATAATTACCATATATTGATATATCCAAATTAATATTAATAATACAAAGTTACTCCTACTGATAAAACATCAGATATTATATTCAAGTTTACTTAATTTCTTATTCCAAATTATTTTCATAATTAGAGAAA